GGAGGAATAATCCTGGTTAGAAAGGAGAGAGTGGACTTCAAGGCTCAGATACGGCCTGTGAATCACTAGCAGTCCATGGAGCACCATCCACTTGCCTGGAATGGAGCTAAGGTCAAAGAAAACCAAACAGAGCAGCATGATGAACGGCACAGAAGGACGTAAAGTAATTTCCCCTGACTGCTCTGTGTCACTTTGAGCAGGACACTATTTCATTCACCCATGAAACTGCAACTCTTTCCAGTTGGTTCCTCAGGACAAGGGCTCTGCTGCCAACATGGACATCACTACCAGGGCTGCTAGGATTGATCTAAGAGTCCTACTGGGCACAACTTTGAGCAAGCCTGCCTGTAATGAGATTGACTGCAGTTTACCTCCACACACTGTCACTGAGGCCACTTCAAATCAAATTTCACTGTTGACTTAAAGAGCCTTTTGCCAGCACCTTTTGTCCCACAGTACTCTGCTGTACTAACTCCCAACTTGGTCCTTTGCCAACTGCTGTTGTCAGAAATCCCAAGAAACCAAGGATTCATCGTTGTTCTGTTTGCAAGTCCCTGGTCAGCTCTTTCTTCCTTGTGCTCCCAGTTTTGAGCCCATTGACCAATTTCAATAAAGTCTGAAAGAAGGATGGAAACCTCAGCAACAACTGCTTTCTAAACATTTTTCAACAGGCAGCTATGCAGGAGCCCCAACTCATATGCTCACAGTAAAGGAGGCAGGAGAGCTTAGTCCGCACACCCCGCATTTATCCAGCATGGATGTAAATACAGACTTGCCCACACTGCTGGCTCTTGGGTTGTTTTTTCCAGGCCTAATCTGGCTCTTGGCCAGCATTAGGAGACATCCAGAGAGCTGCAATATTGTGCAGCTGTTCTGGTGGGGCTGGAGTTACTGAAGTGCATGGATAGAAAAGACACAGATAAGTTGGCAACTCAGCCTCATTAGTATGACTGTTGATGGACCATGTTATTTCATCACTCAAAAGAAACTTCAGTATTACTGGACAGGATGAAATTCAAAAAAAAAAAAAAAAAAAAAAAGATTTTTTACATGCTGGTGATTCACTCTGAGACAAAAGAAAATGAGAGAAATCTCCCCAAATACTAAATATATAAACTTATTGCTGTGATAGCTCCTCCAGACATGAGTCATACATTTTAAAACCTTATGGGGTCAATCAGTTTAACTTCATAAATGAATTACACCACCAAAACCAGACCAAAACCAGACCAATGTATCCAGGCTGGCTCATTTCAAGCTTTCAGAGCTGTCAATAAAACTGTGTGTGAGCCGAAATGCTTACCAGCAAAAACTGAAAGCAGTAAATCAAATTTAATAGGCTGGTTTTGTCGACTGTACAAGAATGATGCCTGAAAAAAAACCAACCCAAGCCTGAACTAATGGAATTCCTAAAGGATATGCAAAGACTGTTTCATTTCTACATGCCTAATGATCTGGGTTTCTGTTTGGTTGTCTTTATGGGCATAACCCACAGAATTTCTGAATTAAAAGCAGCACTTTACATATAAAATATTTAGAAGGGCTTCCAATCCTGACAAAAAGATCTATTGCCTCCCTCAATAGCTGGTTCCTGTAGTTAATTACCCTCACTTATGTTTAATTTAAATTTGTGTCCCTTCATTCCCCAGCAGCTTGATATTTTTATGCTGTTATCTGCTACATTACAGTGCCCTCCTCTTCAATTTATCTTCCCTCCATGTTGGTCAAGCTGCCTTTTAACCTATCCTTTGCAGCAAATTTACATCCCATCTCCCACTACAGATGACTGTGGCCTCTCACCATGTTATAGTGGTGCTTGGGTTTAATTTATTTCCCCTTTGCTGGAATGACATTAAGAAAAATAGTGTTACCAGCCTCATCTTTATTTTCTGCTTTTTTTATTTCTCCTACAGCAAATATATTGCTGGTATATAATGCCATGGAAACAGAAGTCAGAATTCTTTACTATCAAACCAACTCCAAACTGCCCTCCTCTCTTACAGCATTCTGTAAGACCATCAGCCTTGGGTAGAGATGGTCTCCCCTGATATTTAGATTAGGAAATAAATGTTGTGTCCCCAACATCATGAAATAACTGCAGTCAGCAAATGTCAGCTTCTGTGGTAAAGCCACAAGACAGGAGAGACCTGGGCTTGGTCCTGCTCTGGGTTAGGACCAAATAACTAATCTCAAGGTGTGAAATGTAGTAGCCAGTGATCAATACCATGAGCCATCTTGTTCTCTGAGTCAAAAATAAATCTTCACTAAGTGCAAGAGTAGCATTGCTGCTCTCCGTCTTTGCCATCCCCCAAACAAAACAGAAAGGCTGGAGAAGATGCAAAACCAGCAACTTTAATCTCATTTTATAGTTGTCTGTAGTGCTGATGTTCCCTTAACACTGCATAACGTTGCTTTGATTAATCTAATAATGACATGCCCCCAGAAACAGAAAGACATCTGCTATTTAAGACAGATTTGGTACAATTATGCCTTTTGCAGTATTTGTGTCTCATTTCTTTCAAGGATATGAAACTTCGCTTTTTGTATTAAAACTAGAAAAAGATAACTATAAACATGTCTTCTCCTGTGATATAAAGCTCAAACTACAAAAGACAGATCACACAAAATTACTCTTGTTTGCATTCTGAAGATGGAGCTTGTCATTAGAAAGATGACATTTTCTAATATTATGATGACAGATATTATAGAAAGTACCATAATCTGTTCCACTGCAGTGCAAACAGTGCACAGCACCTCCCTAATAACACTGCAAAAGCTAGGGTTGGGAGTTCATTATTTTCTTTGCCTTATGTCAGGATATTGGTGATCCATATAATTACTGCAGTTGCAGAGATGTGCAGTGTTGGGACAGTGTCAGTGCTCTTCTCTGGGCAGTTGCACTGTACTGATACTGCGACTACACTGCTCCTAGCATTTTATACTGGAAGCACAGGTCTGAAAAGCTCTATTCGTATTTTAATACCTGTTAAATATTATAGGCAAGCCCCAATTTCATAGCTTTTAACTGGAAGATAGCAGCTCACTGCCCAAGGCGACATGGATAAAGCTGTACATGCAGCAGGGTCCTACCCTTTCCCTGAGAGAGGCAAGATCAGCAAGTCCCATTCTTTTCACTTAGATCTCACTTAAGAACGATAGCCCATTTTCAGCTTCTCTTCCAGTGACCTAAGCCAGAAAAGTCTCTTATATAGTCAGAAGCAGGTACTGAGTAGTTTTACAACTCAGCAGATTTAATTTCACAAATCCAAATGCAGATTCATCTAAAATAAGCACTGGGAGTGTACTGGTTTGGACTGAAGCTGTGAGCAGGTAGGGAGGACATACGCAGGGTATGCGCAGCAGGAGGTTTGCCCAGGACACACGAGGCCTGCGTTCAAGTCATGCTCTGTTGAATGGTGCATGAGGACACGATTCTGACCCTTTGGTGAGACACATCCTCGCTGCGCTGTTTCAGGACCCATTGCAAGGAGGCTATTTGCCCTGTGCAAAACTGCCAGAATTAGGGATCTCATATAAAAGGAAGCACTGGTCGATGAGTTAGTTTTACCAGCAGCTCAGTGACCTGAGGATGTTTTCCTTCTAATGTATACAGGAGCATTTAATCTCCTACTTTAATGGGATCTGTTTGACTTCACCTACCATTATCACAATGACATGTTGGTGGAGAGCAGAGCTAGTCATGGATTATGTACAAATACGCACAGCAAATGTAATCAGGCTGAATTATCAGGGATTGAGTGTTGGGCTCCTGGAAATAAATTGCAGTATTACATTTGTCATCTGTGAGCCTTAAACAGCCACAAAACACTCACAGCACAGACCTATGGTCAACTTTAAGCAAATCATATAGGGCAACTCATACTGTGATTAGGTGAACTAGACCCTGCAGACAGATGTGTGTGTTCACCAAAATTCATCTTCACAGCCTGTCTATAAATCCTAAAAAAGGAGATGTTGGTTGGCTTTTGGGTTTGGCCTTTTTTTCTATTGGGTAATAGGGGCATTTCTGAGTGAGGATTTGTAGCAAAAAGGAATAAAAAAGTATACACAAGAAAGGAGCATTTTAAAATCATCTCCGGTTAGAGGAATACCAGAAATTACATTATGTCCTCAGAATCCATCATTTACTTTCTGACACTGACACCAGCAGAACCATGATATGGTCCAAATTTATGGCCAAACACATCCTACACTTGTATCCAATACACACACACACACACAAAAGTAAATTTGATTCTGAGCAAATGCTATTTCAAGGCTTTTCCCTCCACACCTTCAAAACATGATTTTCAGCATTTAAACTAAGTACTTCAGTTAACAGAACTTAAAAACAGAGCAAATATATCAAGAGAAAGAGGACAGCTCTTCAGAGATTCATCAACCTGTAGGAGCTACACTACCTCAAACAGGGTTGGAGGACAAGGAAACCCCTCTCCTGTTGAGCTGATCAGTGCCATGCTCTGTGCACCGCTGGGATCGTAAGGCATAGGGCTTCCTCACTGCTTGCTAGCCTGCCTCTCACATAGAAGCCTGAGGAAAGCAAGGGGATGGCTCTTTTTGAGAACTGGTCATGCCAGATAGCTAACAGACAGAAAAGTGCATCAGACCTCATTTTTCCTGCTGGCTATGCCCTACATTAGCTCAGCTCAAAGCACCTCTTCTCCCCCTGACTTGCTTCCCCTAGGTCAGCGGTGACTCATCTGTAAATTAATGCAGGTCTCTGAGACTTCATTATATGAAAAGGGCTTTGAGACCATCAAGTGAAGGAGTGCAAAGAGGTAAGTCTTTTAACTCATATCCATGTGCTACATATGTGCCTTTGTATTTATTTATTTTTCCTTTTATAAAATCAAAATTTGTACCTGAGCCTAGAGCAGGGAGGGAGCCATTCATTCCCTCGTCTTCCCCTGTGATGTTCCCCCCCCGCTCCCCCCTTGCTTTCTTGTGCATAAGGTTTGGAAAACTGGAGTCCAACATACCCAACAATCGAATCTGCATGACTGCGCCATGTAAAACGAAGAACATCCAGAGGGGCTGGGAACAGTCCACGCAGACCTGCATGCCAGTGCCAGCACCATTGTGACTCAAGTGCAGCTCACCATCTGAATTCACCATAAATCCCAGGATGTCTCCACTCTGGAGGGGCACCACGACTCGGCAGATGGCCCAGAACTCCTTTCGGTCAACCAAGGACTCGGGATTATAGGGGAGGTCGCTGGGGCGCAGGGTGCTGGGGTCACAGGACGTCACCCCATAGGACAGTGTCCCTGTGCGCACGGCGTTGGACTTGTTGATTTTGACAAAAATGGTTTCGTTGATCCGAAGGGGTCTGCTGGTGAAAACCAAAGTCCTCTCCTCCCGGGCATGCTCCAGACGGGCCACAGTTTGGTCATCAAGGATTTTGACATGGGGTCCCCGGAGGTGGTGGAAGCGGAGGTCACTCTCCAGCTGGGAGGGGAGGAGGTGGGAGTGCTGGGAGTTGAGGGAGTTCTGTGGGATGGGACACGTGGTGGCTGTCACGTGGAAGGTCTCCTCCTGCAGGTTGAGGTCGCACAGGCTGACCGAGAGGCGTGTGTCCTCTGTCTCCCGCCGCAGTGAGGGCCGGCGGATGGCGGTGAACGAGCGGGGACGCAGGCAGTCAGGAGGAATGATTTCACTGTCTGTGGGGAGAAAAAAAATAAAAAAGGGGTCTCCTCAGAGAAAATTAAAATATCTAGGAGTTCGGAAATTGCTGTTGCTTTGATTTATAGTTTAAAAGGGAAAATTGGAGACCTGCTGCCATTAATAAATTTTCCCCTTTAAAATATGGAAGCAGAGTATCAAAAAATGTATTTGTAATCGATTGCTGCTCTTATACTTTTCCCACCAGCACCAACATTTTCAGCTTCTGAGCAGGCAGACTCAAAATCGATGGAAAGAAATGACCAAGGGAGGCTCTCCTTGGAGAGGGGAAGCAGAGGGCAAATATCTGAAATATACTCTGAACATACTAATCAGTATCTATTGGTCCAAGTTTTCATGCCCTCTTTATTGTCTACAGTAATTCTCATAGGTCTAGGAAATAAATAACTGATTACACATTGTTTTTATTTTAAAACAAATGCTATATTCGGTTCTAATTTTTTTATGATCACTTGAGATTTAATTAATATTCCTGTATATAATTATCATTAGCATTCTGGTGCTCACTGCAAACCAGTACAGATATGGATTTCACAGTGCAGAACTTGGGAATACGCAGTCTTCTATAAATAACATACAATCATTTATTATCTCCAAGCCAAATAATTAAAAATCAAATCCATGGATATGTAACAAAGAAAGATGATGTTTACACATTCAAATCCATCAGTGGAAACAGAATTGCACCTTATCCTCTTTGTTAGTCTCACCTGCTGTTTCAAGAGCTAACCATCAATTTAGTTGATTCTTTTTCCAAGGAACACAACCACCTGCCTTTAATGCCTAAATTACTTTTATTTAACATATCCTTATCTGTGCTGTTGCCATAGAAATTTTAAAGAGCAATATACTGAGGAAAAAAAAAAAGTATTTAAACAGATCATAAAAGTAAGCTGAGATAATGCAAAGATTTATACTTATGCCTGACTTTCTGAACTCTGTAAAGCCCGTAGCATCAAGAGACTATTCACTGTGAGAAAATTCAGCATGTGGGTAATTCTCTGCATACATTATAAGCTATGACCCATACTGACTGTTACTCTGAGGGAACTAAGCTTGAAGACTGTTGTGGCTTCAAGCCCCGCTCCAAATGGTATGAGGTGGAACCACCCCACATGACACAACCCTGGGCAGGTAGCACAAAGCAACAGCACCAGACCCCAGCCTGGGACCTGCCGCAAACACAGCACAAAGCAGAAAAACAAGAGGCCAAGGAGTAGAGACTTGTTCCTAGCCCACCTGCTTGGCCCTTGCATTGGGCACCTCTTCAGCCATGTACCCTTGGGATTTTTATTTTACAACAACAAAAAAGCAAGACCTTAGGTTATCTGAGGATTTTCCCAATGGGATGTACCCTCTCCCAGTGCACCACAGTAGTGGCTCGGTACCAGTATGTCGAGGAAAAATGCCAGCTAGTGAATAACCAACATCTTCTGCCATATCTGAGGTCTGACTAACAGCCTTTCCTGCCCTCCTCTTCTGGGAGCCCTGACAAGAGTACACCCACACACAGTTTGGCTTCAGCAGAGCTCTTTGCTTTGCTTAAACTGGATTATTCCAGGCTCCTCTTTAAATAAACTGCTATTACAAGGAAAGCAGAGTCTCAAAATAAAAATGGGCTTTGTTTCTCATATTTGATTTTCCCCATACTGATATTTCAGCTTCTCTTCCCAGAAGTTAATTAAAGAAAAGGAGGAATAAATAAAATCAGAAATTACCCCAAGTAATCTAGAAGTGGGTCGCATTAATGATTTGTAATATATGGGATAGCATTTGCATTGCAAGTGCTCCTGCTGGATTGAATTAGACTTATTTTACCCTCCTTTGTCTGGAAACCTACATAGGAGAAGAAAATTAATACTGGCAGTCGACAACGATCCTTTGGTGTAGGTGAATGGGTAAAGACCTTTCTGAATAGGAACAGAAGGTCCTCTCTATTTTATTCCCTGTAACTATGCATGTGCAGCCTGGCTGACAACTGTGATGTGTGGGTAGCTTGCAGCCAGGGTTTTGAAACAGCTTGTTTTCCACCAGGATGCTTGCATTTCCCTTTGGCTGCTGGACAAAATATTTTTTTCCATCTGTAAAGAGGTTAAGAGAGATGGAGCTCTTCTGCAGACAAGACACATGGCAGTGATAGCAAACCAGGGTTACACATCCAACTGTTTTACTTAAATCCATCGGCAGCTCAGATGCCTGGTCTCTTAAGGGATAAGATGTCTCAAGCATATGGGATTGGCTGTGACACTTAGTTCATTAATGTTTGCAAATACCCATGGAAGAAAGGATTACAGTTTACTGGTATCTGAAGTGGGTTTGTGAAAATTTAGAGAGATGAATCTCTAAGCGAGGCTGACCTGCTCCAGGGCTCTATGTTTTGATAAATCACAAAATACCCAGCCAAAGAAGAAAAAAAAATCCCACTGAATATGAAGTAAATCAAAAGTGGGATCCATCTTTTGGGGTGGTAGGTAAGTTGGAAGAAATGTGGAATGTCATTTATCCAGAATAACTGATAATGGCCAAAAGGCTATGAATGAACAATTCTGGTGAAATGTGAAACAAATGAGGTGACTTTGAGCTGTTTCTTTCACCAGAAGATGCCCAGGAATTAGTGTTTCCTTCCACTAAAGCTTCACTTGTCACTTCTTAAAAGCAGACCAAGCTGTTCGTGCTGGAGTGGCCTGTAATGCAGCCTTACTCCTCGTGCTGAGTTTGTGTGTGTGTGGTGGGTTTTGGTAGTAGGGGAGGGAGCTACAGCCGTGTCTCCAGTGAGAAGCTTCTCAAAGCTGCCCTGGCTCCGAGTCGGACTTGTCTCTGGACAAGGCCAGCCCAATTAGTGATGGTGGCTGCACCTCTGTGACAACGTATTTAAGAAGGAGACCCTGAGAGGAGGAGTTGGAGTTGTGCAAACACTGAGGTCAGCTGAAGAACAGAGGAGGGACGGGGACACACACACACACACACACACACACACACACACACACATATGCTGGAGTAGAAACTCGCGTGGTGAGAGGGCGCTGTGCCCCTGCAGCCCATGGAGATCCACAGTGGAGCAGATGCCCACCTGCAGCCTGTGGAGGACCCCGTGTTGGAACAGATTGCTGTGCCCAAAGAAGGCCGGGACCCTGAGGGAAGCCCATGTTGGAGCAGTCTGTTGCTGGGAGGACTGCAGCCCACGGCAGGGACCCATGCCAGAGTGGTTCATAAAGAGCTGCAGCCTGTGGGAAGGACACACATCAGAGGAAGTTCATGGAGGACTGTCTCCCATGAGAGGGACCCCACACTGGAGCAGGAGAGGAGTGTAACGAGTCCTCCCCCAGTGGAGGAAGGAGCAGCAGAAACAGTGGGTGATGAACTGACTGCAACCCCCATCCCCTGCCCTGCTGTGCCGCTGCAGGAGGAGGAGGTAGATAAATGAGGACTAAAGCTGAGCCTGGGAAGAAGGGAGGGGTGGGGGGGAAGGTGTTTTTAAGATGTGGTTGTATTTCTCACTGTCCTACACCACCATAGTAAGTGGTGGTGGTGGTGTTTGAATTAAATTGATGTTCTTTTTCGTCACCTAATAAGTCTGTCTTTTGCCCATGACCATAATGGATGAATCATTCCTCCCTGTCCTTGTCTTGATCCTTGAGCCTTTTGTTTTATTTTCTCCTCCCCATACCTGAGGGGGAAGGAGTGAGTGAGCAGGTGCATGGTGCTCAGTTGTCCTCTGGGCTTAAACCATGATGCTCCTGCAGAACATTTACAACTGACTTTTAGTGCTTACAAAGGAGGGACTCCATGTAGGAGTGTTCAGGCAGGTTTATATTTGCAGAGACCAACCCTGGAGCACACATCAAATAGATGGAAGGGCTTTATGGGACAAGACTGTAAAATACAAACCAGGTCCAACAGTACATTACTGAGGAGATCGCCCAGCTTCAGCCTGAAGAATTTGGAAAGCAACCCTTCTCATTAAATATTCAAAGTTACAGAATTTCCTCTATAAGGCAGTTGACTGTATTTCTCTGGGAAAAGTCAACTGGTGAGAGACCTCCTTGGGTGAGAATAGACAGACCTGTGAGCAAAGACCAGAGCTTTCACTGAGTCACCAGAGCAAACTTTTAACCCAACCGGCTGGGGTACCACCAGTGAGCTGGCCATGACCACAGCAGCTCGATGCAGGCTGGCTGCCCAAGCAGCTTTCCAGAGAGGTTTTTCTGAACTCTGCATCAGTGCTGTTATGATGTTAACGCTGGATTTAGAGACTTAAAGTATTAATATAGACATAGCCAAAGTGAAAGGACTTCTACTAAATACAAATTTTCTGCTCCCCAGTTTGAGAAACCGAGACACTGAATTTTTGTAAAGGATGCCTAAATTCATAAATCCCTTTATATTTTTTTCTGGCTTTGTTTAGGAAAAAAAGCAAGCAGGAGTAATTAATTTAGCAAAGTAGAAATGAATGGCACTTGAGCAGTTCAGCCATCTTCTGTTTTCTCCTCCTCTTTAGTGGGGTTTATCTGCAAAATTTAGATTCTCAGCTGATTCCTTACACAGACAATTAACTTAAAGTATCTTCCTCAGACCTGAGGCTTCAAAGCTCTCCATTTTACTGCTCAAAGGGCACGGAAGAGCCTCTCACTTCATGTAGGCTCAGTGCGACTGCAGTAACACTTTAAAACAGCACTTACAAGGAGCTTGTGAGCAGCCAGATAAAGCTGTAATTGCTGCATTCAGATCAGAAGTATTTCACTACCACCTTTTTTCTGAACCACTGACAAATGTTGTCTTCTTAAAATAATCCGTTTTCTTAAACATGTATAATACATATAATACATATTTATTATAGATATCACATATATGCACATTTAATATAACTACATGCACATCCAAACACAAACGCATTTCTAACCACCAGCATGCACAGATGATCTCAGCCCCACACAAAACCAAAGGGGATGTGCTGCTGTCAGAGAATCAAATCATTATT